CTCTCTCTCTCTCTCTCTCTCTGTCTCCTCTCTCTGTGCATGTGTGACCGACATCTATTCTAAAAAGCATTTGTGCCCTGAAAATGACTTGCAACGTATAATATACTATATGTCATCTACGAAAACTGCATTGATAAAATTTTACATTGTTCTCCTATGTGCAGCATATGTAGGTTGCGTTCTAATGCTCATAATGTTTAGACCTAGGCCAAGCATTTGACACAATTGGTCATTCTATTTTATTAGAAAGGTTGAGAAAGGCATTTGGAATATCTTAAAAGTAGCCTACTGCTCTTAATTAAGTGGTTCAAGTCATACCTACCTGGGTGTTCACAGTCTGTTGTTGTGAGAGGGAAAAAATCAGCTATATAAAAGTTTGAATTTACGGGATACCACAGGGCTCTGTGTTGGGACCACTGCTGTACACTTAGTACACAACACTAATTAGTTCCACATAAGTAGCCCCAATAGTACCTATATCATGTACGCAGACGACACGTAGCTGTGCACGTCCTCAGAGCCAGGCAACACGTATTTAATAGCTCAAAGCATAACAAAATGTGTAGACAAAGTCAGGACCTGGATGACATCCAACGACCATAAAACGGAAGTTATCTTTAAAAAAGTAAGCCAAAGTCTTAAGTATAATGTGGGGTGCCCATTACGGATGGGATCGGCCGATGGGGCCGATCGCCCGACTCGGTCGCCTAAAAAAGAAACGTGTTTGTTTTCAGCTTCAGGCAACAAAATCGGGCGATCGGCCCGTTCCAGTCGTAGTGGGCACCCCGTATATGGCTTTTACGACAGCCGCTCCCTCAGAAAGTGGGGAATTCCTTCCTCCTGCATCATAAAATAAACTTTAGGTGAATCAGTCAGTAAGTAGAGGTGGGCAAAATCCGGAAGGATAACCCGATAACTGTCAATGAAACATCATCCGAATTCAGATTCTGAACTCTCTTTCCTGGTCCGTTTGTCGAAGTGGTCTAACCATGGCGTTCTTTACTTACAGGCCTTCCCAGCGTACGGCTGAGGTCTCGGACTGGGGGCTTACGGTGTTTTCTGTAAGGGAGG